CTAAGAACCCACATCTCACTGCAGCTAACCCACATCTCACTGCAGCTCCTAATATGTGTGAGCATCATGCGTCACTCAATGCTACAAACAGAAACTAGATAAAATGGGAACTTAATCAAGGCCGCAGAAACATACTTCAACCTTGAGCTGGTGTGAAAGTCCTAATGTGCCCAAAGTTCCCATCACTTTCTCAAATATATACACGCATAGACACGAGTGCGCGTACACACACACACACTGGCTTGCTCGCCCCCCACCCCGCCCTTGTGAGGTGAAAGCACGTGTGGAAGGATGGGAGCAGTGATGCTATCACTGAAAAGATCACAGAGTTGCTGAGAATCTCTCTTTTCTGAGACAGGGCCTCAATACACAGCCCTGGCTGGCCTAGAACTGAAGTACACCAGGCTGGCCTTCTGAATGCTGGGATTAAAGATGTGCACCTCCATAGCCTTCTAAGCTGGTGCTTATTATCTTAACTACCCTACAAACAAGTATCACCAAAGCTGCTTCAGTGTAGAGTGTCTACCATCGCTCCTCCAGGCCCTGACTCCACAGGTTACAAGTGACATCCCATCACGGACGGGGACACACACACACACACACACATACACACACACATACACACACACATACACGTCTGCAGGCCAAATTCCAATGCAGACTGTCAGCTTCACCTGGACTTCCACTTTTCACAATGTAGAATGATAGGATTCCAGGTAGGAACAACCAAACTCCACTTACGCACACTTGTGTGACTCCATTTTGGTCCCTGAGTTCTGTCACCAGGGTTATGATACCAACAACTGCTAACTCCTATCATTATGAAGTTAGGGACACTGTGGGAAGTGAGAACTAAGGAGACCTACGGAACTCTGCTTACACGGGCTGCCGTTCTCTACGGCAGTTGTTATGGAACTCTGCTTACACGGGCTGCCGTCCTCCATGTCAGAGTTTTAACAACAGAAGAGTCTGAGGCAGCAATTCCCCACCATGCCAGGGGTTCCCTACCTGTCTGGCTTTGGGGTTCTTCCCGGCAGGACTGTTCTCACTTGTACCATCCATTCCTCGAAGAACACTGATGAAATCCTTCTTGGAAACAGTTGACATCAGCTTAGCCCGCTTCCGGATGGAGCCTCCTGCTTCCTTAACCTTTTCGCCAACATTCCTTTGGTGTTTCTGTACAGCATTGAAGAGCTGCACCACACCCCTAGAATGTAAAGTGTCAGGACAACATGAGACACACAAGTACAGCAGGACGTGGTCTCTCCACCACCACCATCCAGGAAAGAGGAAAGCGCTCTCAGGAGGCCAGTATACTAATCTATTCTAGACAGCAAACACTGAGCTGAACTAGGTCTCACAGGGTCCCCTTAATCAGCAATGCAGGGACTTAACAAGCACTGTCTTTTTTAGTCAAATCAGGTAATAAGCTCATTTTACTTTTACCTTAAAGCATGTTGAATCTATGAGTGTTCTTAATATGCCAATAAGGTGAATTTTCATGTTATTTTAAAATAATAATGGTTACAAAGTACTGAAAAACCATTGTTTCTTTTTTCGGGGGGGAGGGGGGTTCAAGACAGTGTTTCTCTGTGTAGTCCTGCTGTCCTGGAACTCACTCTGTAGACCAGGCTGGCCTCGAACTCAGAAATCCACCTGCCTCTGCCTCCCAAGTGCTGGGATTCAAGGCGTGCACCACCACTGTATGGCCATGGTGTCTGACAGGCTGGACTTAACATTACCGTCTTTAACAGATGAGGTGAGACAGAGACAATCAATGGTGTGTGCAGATTCTCACATCTCACTGTGCAGCTCCCACACAGGTCAGAGAATGACTAGGGTAATCTGTTAACCACAAGTTACAAACCACTCCACTAAATGTAAACATCTGTTGTTCTTTTGTTTCCTGTTTCCAGACATAGTTTCCCCATGTAGCCCTGGCTGTCCCGAAACCCCTTCCATATACCAGGCTGGCCTCGAACTCATAGATCTCCCTGCCACTGCCTGAGAGCTGGGATCAAAAGTGTGCACCACCACTGCCTAGCTACTACTATGTTTTTAAGTAGCGCCTTCCCCAATCCCCCAATCCCCATGGCTGTCACTACACACAGACTTCTAAGAGACACATGTACAGGTGAGGAGCGGTCACAGAGCAGGCACCATATCCTACTCAGCTCTCCATATGGAAGATGACAACTGCTTGGTGCCCATGTTGGGGGAGTGGGGATCTGAGGGAAAAGGCGAAGGAAAAGCTGACGTAATGTGTGGAATAACATCCTGTAAATACAATAACAAACCCAGCACCATGCATTTAGAAAGCACTAGAAAAGAAGTGTAGTCAGGGATCTGACTGAACCATCCAACGAACATAAAAGTGATGACCCATGTAGATTCAGACCAAATACACACTTGGCACACTACAGCTCTGCTTCAGGACACTTCCAACGTCTTTGGTCAAACTCAGTGTCATCAGCAGGTTGCAGGCGAGTCATTGGTAAGGTGAGCTTAGGAACCCCATATGAGCACAGGAGTCACTAGCAAAGCCTCCGTGTACTTGTTCTTAAAGGCTTCTGAAGCGCCATCTTACCTTGTCGCAATCCTCTGAAGGTTTCTCTCTGCCTCTTTGTCTTTGACAACATCTGGCTTCACTCTGCACAGCATTTCCCACTCCCGCTTCTTATCAAGCTGTGTGGTGAATACGGTTATTATGAATACAGTTATATGAATGCTGTATCAGGCAATTTTGAAAGTGCAGCAAACTGTGATACGATACGCTGTGAAAGGACAGGGGTAATAAGGCACCCTACCTCTGTGTATCAGAGGCTGTTTCTAAAACCCAGTTTCAGGGGCTCAGCTCCGAGAGCCTGCTATTAGCACTCTGTGTGCCTTGTGAGAGGCAGTCTAAGAGGTTGCCCTCTGGCATCAGCTCTGGAGAGCTGCCAGTATGTGCAGCCAGGCAGTGCACAGCAGGGTGAGCTGGCCACCCAACTGACCAGCACAGCATCACCAGTAGGATGTACAACAGCACTGCCCACCTCGGCAAGGGCAGGCTGTGCCACCCACTCCTGCCAGCAGACTCATCAAAGGATCAAATCTGTAGCAGCTCTGGATAGAACAGTATCATATGCAGAGACTCAAGTATTAATTATTTCTCTTTATATAAAATCATTTACATCTATCTCTCCTCTCATGGCATAGCTAACCCATGTTCTTGTCACACACAGACTTTTTAGTCACAAATTCAAGTGTTCAAGTGAACTAATTTCCTACCACTGTGCAAACACTGAAGGGGAGCTGGAGAAAGACAGGCTCACAGACAAGGCACAGGCTCCTGTAAAAGGCTCTCTGAGCACCATCCTGATCCCCAGTGCCTGACTTCACAGGACGGCCCTTAGGTCTGTTTCCCACACTAATATAGACTAGCCAGATGAACGACTCACCCAGAGGCCACTCAGCATCTACCCTGAGGACGGTGGGAAATGCCAACTTTTCTCTCCCCTCCTCTGCTGTATGTTAAGAACCTGGCTAACGCTCCTTTAGAATCAGCATTCTTCCTCAAATCAGTACACTTAAAAGTCAGCAGATGGTTCTGAGAGCTCTGTGCTCTGTGTACAGCTCGGCTCCAGCACTCAGAGCTGATCTACAGGCTTAGCCCTGGCTTTCAAATGCTGTTCCTGCTCCCCCTCCCTAGGATTTGGAGACTAGATATAGTCTAGTATCTAGACAGAATCTGGATGCAGAGTCTATCATTTTAAAAAGTTAATAAACAGAGAGAATGCTGAGCATAGCTGTGTTATGTGGGCAAGGCCCTCAGGCCCAGCTTTCAAGCAGAGCAAGCAAAGAAGTGGTGCAGGCACTGCCAGACATAAAGAGCAACGTGACCTAATCCATTTGTACCTGGAAACTACTCCATGGAAGTTACTACTTCTATACTGTCAGTACCAATATAGAAGGTTACTTTTCTTCCATTAGAAAATACTCATTTTTTAAGGAAATATTTTTGATACAGTGATACTTACAGTAGTACAGGGGCCCTGAAAACCTTACCATAGTTTCTTTTATATTTTAAAACAGCCAACTTATATGCAAATGTAGGTGTTTAATCGAGGTTAAAGTAAACTAACTTCTACCAGGAGCAATTAACCAGAGCAAGAATTCAGTTATCAACAGAAACTAACCACTCCTGAACTGCACCCACTTCAGTATCACGGGTTTATGTAGTAGGGCTAGGTTTGCTCTGCCCATAAGGCTGTGCTCTTGACTTAACCCTGCTCGCCCAGCCCTCTCAAGCCCTTAAGGCTGAATGCTGCTTGGACAAAGTACAGAGTGCACAGGCCAGTGGACGGACACACCTGCTTCCTCTTCTCCAGCCTTTCCTGCTTTAGCTTCTCCTTCTCCTTCTCCAGCTCTTTGTTTTTGGTGAGGATGGTAGGCTTGCTTTTAGGAGTCTTTTTGTTAAGGATTTTTGCCATGGCATCTGCCCAGCCCGAATTAGTCCCAAGACTTGATTCTGCAGCGTCTTCATTTTCTTCCTCACAGGATTCAACATTGTCCTCGCTGTCTGCTTCTACAGCTCCATCATCTGAGTAGCCCAGCTCTAAGTCACAGCTTCCTACAGACCATAAGAGCAAAACAAAATTATACTTTAGAGCCCAGGGCAGAACAGGCCAGAGCCCCCAAGGCCCTGTCTGCAGTACTGATGAGGGGCACCAGAATCTCTGTGTCGCTAACAGCAAGGGACACCAGCCCACAGCAATGACGGGGAGGCAATCCAACAGAGACAAATCCAACAGCTGCTCCACTTCACTTCTGTAAGGCTGGCCAGACCAGTGAGGGCCAATGCTGAGTGCTCTCAATACCCAGAGTTCTAAACTTATTGAAGAGATTAACCAAGATTATTTTAAGTACTCAAGTACTAATGTATTAAGAAAAATATTTCAGTGTCAGCGTACCAATTCTCTAAGAGTTTTGTCCCAAATATTCAAATTCTAAACCTGTGTCCAGAAAAATACTAAAAACCAGCCTAACTTTTTAGAAGATGAATATAGCACTAAAATTTTGATTTGGTCATTTCTTTTTCTTTAGAAAACCAAAACCAAATGATGCACTAAAGGTGCTAGACTGTAGTGCTGACTCACAGTGGCTGCTGTGTCAGTCTCTGAGTCAACTCATCACGTTACTGGCTGTACAGCAGAATGCCATCATGCAGAAGCAGCAAAGCTAGCAGCCAGCACTGGCTACAAGACCGTGAAGCTCCTGTGAACTCCCTGTGGACTTCACTGGAAAACATTTCAATGGGGAAGTCACCCAACAGCTAAGTGGCTTTCAGAGGAAAACTGCCTTTAAGAAACAAAGGTCCTTTCTTAGGTTGACTCCTATGTAGGTACATCCCAAAGGTTAGTTAAAAAACAAAAACAAACAAAAAAACCCCTATTACCTCAAACTTTTCATATCAAACTACCATAATACCAACATTAGTGATTAACTACTGGGAATCATTCAGTGATTCCCTTGCATCAGGAGACAATATTAGAGTAAGAGGAGGAACGGGAGGAAGAGGAAGAAGAGGAGGAAGAGGAGGAGGAAGAGGAGGAGGAGGAGGAGGAGGAGGAAGAAGAGGAGGAAGAGGAGGAGGAAGAAACGGCAGAAGAAAAGGAGGAAGAGTCCCTTGTATCAAGAGACAATATTAGAGTAAGAGGAGGTGGAAGAGGAAGAAGAAAAGGAAGAGGAGGAGGAAGAGGAGGAGGAAGAAAAGGAGGATGAAGAAGAGGAGGAGGAAGTGGAGGAGGAAGAGGAGAATTCAGGCATGAATTTCCCACTGCTCCCTACTTACTACAACACTGCTACCTCCTCACTGTGGCCAACTGTGGAATCCTCTGACTTTAAGCCATACATCAGACAAACTGTTGCTTAGACCTTTTACCCAGAGTCTCATTATAATACACACCCTTCAGTAACTACTTTTAAATAATATAAGCTGGGCATCCCTAAATTCATAGTTGAAATCCTAGACATTACAATATGAATATTTTAAGTGCCATATTGACCAGTTGTAGGTAACTGAATTTAATTTTGGAACATGTCCTTAAATTTCCAGGTTAGGGATGAGGATAATCAACCAGGAAAGTCTACACAGGGTAATGTAATCAATGCAGTGATAACTGTGTCTAGTCAAGGGCCACACAACCTCTCGCCAGAAGCATCTCTGAGGACCCTGCATATTAACACTTAAATAATGCAGTTAGTTGAAAACATATAATGTATCTTTTAGTCCTCAGAGTCAGCAGCACTATGAATGCTAATAATCAAAAATTCTATAACAAAACCTACTCTTTTATTAAACGCTAACCAGATGAAGGAGACACAACCATAAATGTTTAAGTACCAACACTACCTGGAGCATCAGAAGCAAAATAGGCTTCACCAGCTCCTAGAAAAACATCAAAACAGCAACACTGACATCTAGTGTTCGTCCTGATGCACCTGTACAACGGCTGCAGAGAACCCTGCTGTGTGGCGCAGAGGCTATCCAGGATGCAAGCAAGCCTCTGCAGCTCACCACTGAGACCTGTTCACTCTGATAGGTTTCTTACCAGGAGTAATGCAACACAACACTACACAAACAATCTGTACAAAGTATAGTATAGTATTTTATATAACCTCAACTCAACATACCAATGAAACAAATTCCAGAATTTGGAAAAGTGACTTTTTTTTTTCTGCAGTTGAGGAAAGGCATTTATAGGCAGCAAGGAAACTTACGCATGAAGCAGATACACAAAGAAAAACACAGGGAACATAAGAAACCCCCTGCAAAAAATCCCTATGTTTTATTTCATTTCATTTTAAGAAGCTCAGGCTCAGGGGATTGAGTATTTGCTCCCAACAGAAATGACATTCTGTATAAATAATTTTTAAAATGCCAATGTAATAAGATCTGCCAGCACATACACACCAAGAAACAGTAGGTTACTGAAAATCATCACCATGAGACCCAGAAAGGCTCTTAGCTTTGAGTGTATCCTGACACAAGCCTTTGGTAATTTTTCACTAACCAATCTCTAGCAGCAAACAGTAACACAGGTGTGTAACTCATGACTAGAAATCACTAGACATGTAAAAAAATCCCCTTGGCATCCTATATTATTTTATATGTCATTTCTGCATTTTATTTCAAATATCTAAAGATTAATTGCAAACCGTGACAAACTCCAACAATGGCAATGCTTCACGTCAGTTACCCACAAGCCACCAGTCGCTATCACATGCTTCTAGTATGTCCAGCATGACTGAGGAACTCAATTCTTCAATTTTTCACCACTCACTCTAACTGGCCTGAGGAAGACATGGACACTTCTCCCCTGCTGCCTCTCCCAGGCCTTCCGCAGCCTCACACACTTGCCTACCTATCCATTCCTCGGCCTAGGAATGATTAATGGCTGACAGGAACGTGAACTCTTTTCACCAGGACTGAGACACAGTCTTAAAAACATGCACACTCCCCAGCATTTCTGAGCACCCAGGAGTGGAGAAAAAGAAAACAAATGAAGCCTTCTCTCCCTGAAGAACCGAGTTGAGCAGCAGAAAGAGGGAAGAGGGAAGGTCTCTGGAAAGTTCCACGCAACGCGCTGAGCACTCACACGGGGCTGTGCATGGTGTGCTGCCATTTTAAGAAGTTCAATGATGAAGAAGACTAGAGTGCTGGAAAGCACACTGATCTGCTGGGTTACTCCGTCTCACATGTAGCTTTGTGGTTCAGCAAAGAAGGAAAGGTTATTTCTAGAACTGGTAAACTGGATGTCATGAAGTCCTGTGTGAGAGCGGTCAGCCCTCTTCATACACTGACCAAGACAATTCAGGGTTTTCACTGTCTAGAAGTGACATCACCAACCACCTTCCTATGTAACAGTTGCAGGACACTTTCTCTGAGGATTATGGACTACAGACACTTTCCCCCAAGAGTATAAGCCTATGAATCTGGTTAGCATCACGCCTGAACCTCCTCCATTGGTTCAACTATCTGAGTGGTAAGCTCAACTAGTCCTACCTTCCTTCCTCATAGTATCTGACTTCAGCAGCCATTGTTTTCATGGTTTGACCAAAGTTCAAGAGAAGTGATTTACTTAGGTGTTAACTACTTTTGTTACTAAACTACAAACTGAAGGACCAAGAATATATTTTATCTAAACCAACAAGTTATCCACTTAATCTGCACAGTTCGAGGACAACTCTTAAGGAATATCATCATCTCTCCCTCTTACACCTCTGACATATTTTGCTTAAGATGCAGACTATAGCTGGGTCAAATGGTATAAAACTGAGGCAGGAGGACTACCAGGTCAAGGGCCTGCCTGGGCTACCTGGTGAGTTCAAGGCTAGCCTGCATAACCTAGTGAAACCATGTCTCAACAAAAAGCATGGGCTGGGAATAGCTCAGTGGTTAAGGACACTTGCACAGGACCCAGGTACGGCCCCTAAGACTCACATCAAGAGGCTCACAATGCTGGTAACTCCAGCTCCTTTGGATGTAACACCATCTTCTGGCTTTCCTGGGCAATACATCTACAATGCACACACATACAATCAAGTATACACACATATTCATAGAGAACAAAATAAATAATTTTACAATGAATAAAGAGGTGGCTCAGTAGGTAATGTGCTTGCTGCTCTAATCTGAGACTGTGAGATGAATCCCCAGAGCCCATGTGAGGTGGAGCCCAGGAGTGCACATCTAGAGTTCCAGGGTTCCCATGGAGGGAGGAGAGGCTGACTGGACTCTCTGAAAACTTGCAGGCCAGCTAGCATGGTATATGCAGTGACATATGCCCTCTGATCTCCATGTGCATGATATAGCACAGGCATGTCCCACATATGTAAACACAAACAACATCTGTACTGTGAAGCAAGTCCAAGGCCCTGGATTTGATCCTTCCCCATATTCTCCCAAAAGACACATGCTGGACCATTTTTATAGCCCGTATGTCTCTCTGGTTCATAAGCAGGTTCCATTTTGATACAAAATGTAATTTAAGTAGTACTGAAAAGTCTGTCTACTTACCAAAGCTCACCTGAGTATTTCTACCATCATTCAGTTTTATACTGCACACAACTGCAGGTATTTTTAACCTGAGTGTCTAGTTTTCTAATAAAAGAGATGTAAAATGATTACATCTTTCACAGGCAAGGACTTTCCGAATAAGACTCCATTGGCTCAAGATATAACAGGAAGAACTGACAACTTGGACAACACAAATCAGAAAGCTTTTGTTGGACAAAGGAGAGAACTAACATAGAAAGAGAGTGTATGTAGCAGGAGAAAACCTTTACCAGCTACACATCTGGTAAAGGAATAACAGCTAAAATCCTTTCTCAAAACTCTAACCACCACATACTGAAGGAGCAAATAATCCCACCAATAAGTGAGTAAATAGACTATGCAGAGACTTTTCAAATGGAGAAATATAGACAGCCAAAAAATGCTAAAAAATGCTTACTCTCTTTAGCCATGAAGAAAAGACAAATCAAAACTATAGTAATATTCCATTTCCAGAATATCATCAAACCAAAAGAAACCACATATGCTGACACTGGTGGGTCAGAGGTGGGAGAGGCTGGGAGGGAACGGAGGAAGCCCTGCAGTTGGAGGCTACTGTCAGCACACAGCAAGTCTGGGCTCATGTGATCTCATCTTTTAAAAAAATCTACTATCAGGAAAAAATATACACTGGTAGCATCTATAAAAAATTAGTTTGAGGGTTCTTCCAAAAGTTAAAAATTTGGTCCTTAACATTGTGAAATCCATGAACCATAAAAAGATGATACATGATGAAGTTACAATAATTATTAGTTTCCTACTGCTAGAAATATTATATCCTAAATAAAAACAGATATCTTAATAACAAAAATTAAAAATTGAACCATGATTCAGTAACCCAAAGATCAAAGCCAGAGACACCTACATACCCAAGTTTACCACAGTGCTACTCAGGCCAGATCTGGTATCAGCCCAGGAGTCCATCAGTCTAATGAATAGAAGTCTACTGAGGACTACAGGCATCAAGCTCTGTAATAAATTCTGATACTGCTGCTATCAAAGTCAATCATTTCTCAGTCTCAGAGATCTGGGAGTTTGTGCAACACACAGTATTTCATAAACCAAGATTTTCATTCTTGTATAAGAGGTCAAAAGAAATCCAAACCAGAACATGAAAAGTATAGCTCGAGACCCATAAGCCAATCATGTGCTTTCTGTGAGGCAACTGTCATCCTACTTAAGGACACTGTGTGAAGTCTGCCCTTCACTGTGAGGCCTAGTTGACAATCAACCATGTCTCTGATGCAGTTTCCTGAGAGATGGGCCAGTACAACAAACTTGTAACAGGCACACACCACTCCTCATGTGAATACTTTTAGCAAGAGTTCTATAATCCATGGGTCCCCTTTCCAGAAAGACTATGAACTCACAGGAGGAAAACAATCATTTCTTAGGTTAAAAATGGAATTCTGCATAACACCAAAGAAAGTGCATTAACCAAAACCCTTTACTACTAAATTTACAAAACGGAAGACCCTTCACAATTTGTTAGATGCCACAGAGATGGCGTAAATGCTGGGAAGCTGCATGGAGAGCACTGAACTCTGTGGTAGAGCTCTTCCTGGCTCTGTGCGGTTTGATACAAAGCACCACACACAGAAAAGACACAGAAAAGTTGTTTATGTTGCTTTTGGGTTTGGTTTTTTTGGGGGTGGGGGAGTAAGCACATTTGGTGCTCTTCAGAGGACCTGAGTTTAGTTCCCAGCACTTGTGTCAAGAAGCTCATAACCATCTCTAAGTCCAACTCCAGGGGATATAATGCCTCTGGCAGAAACCCACATGCAGGGACACATGCATGTAAATAAAAATATTTTAAAAAACAGAGCCAGTTAGATGGCTCACCCTGTGAATGTCCTTACACAAGCCTAGTGAGGACCTGAGTTCAGTCTTCCTCAGCACATATGTAGAGATCCTCCTCCTCCTACAGGCTGTCCTCTGACTTCCACATGTGCATGCGTTGATGTAGCATGTCTGTCCCCAAAAAATAAACAATGCAACTGAAAATGTTTAAAGAGACCAATATTAGGGATACAACAACTCTTATAAATATGGTTCTAGATTAATAAAAAAAGTTAAAAAAGAAAAAAAAAACAGCAACAAAAGAGTTGGCATGCTGGCAGTGGTGGTGCACGCCTTTAATCCCAGCACTTGGGAGGCAGAGGCATGCGGATTTCTGAGTTCAAGGCCAGCCTGGTCTACAGAGTGAGTTCCAGGACAGCCAGGGCTACACAGAGAAACCCTGTCTCGAAAAAACCAAAAACCAAAAACCAAAAAAAAAAAAAGAGTTGGCTGGAAGAGCCCATGTCTGTGGTAAAAGAACAGCTCCAAGCTGAGCCCTAGTCACTTAGTGACTAACACTACCTGATCCTGAAAAGTAGGCATTGATCATCACTGAAGCTGCAGACAGGCTGTTACAGGTTCACAAGAGGATACAGATGACCTTCATAGCTGTGGGTTCTCTATCTGCAAGCTCACATACATGGTATCATTAGTTTTGAACAATATAAATACCCCTGCAAGTGCTTTCACCCAGATACACTTCATCCTGGCCACTTCTTGTGTTCACATCATCTTCCTTGGAACTGTAACTCTAGGTCAGTGCCTAGAGGGTTACTGTAACATAACAGAGTGCAAACATTCATTGGATAATCAGGTTTCCATATTATCCAGAAGCCTCCTTGACACATTATCTATAACCAAAGAAAACGTTAGAAACCTAATCAGTATTTGTGCTCAAAAGAACATTTCCTCTTGCAATTACCTAGTACTGAGTAAAGAAATCCAATTTCCACCCAAATCTGAAAGCAGTATTGATGTCTTTCTTGAAATGTGATAGTGTTTTCTTTTCTTAGACAGTAATGCTTACAATTATTCAATTCACAACTGTACCATAAGGAGATAAAATGGCTGAGCAGGTAATGGCACCTGCTGCCAAACTCCTGTAAGTCCTCAGACCTCTGCATGTTGGCACACAGCAAATAGACAAATGCAGAAAAAACAACATCTGGCCCATAGGCTCTAATTCCTGCCCATCTCTGGTAAGGGTGTTTTCTTAACATCTTTAGGGAGGGCTGAGGGCTTCAACTACCATTCAAAAGCTTAGTCAGCTACTTCTTGGTCTTGAAGTCCAAGTTCACTCTTTCGTTTACTTATGGATCTGAGTGACAGTTGTTGATCTAGGAACTGTGGTTCAAGTGTCTGCACACTTAGGGAACTTACAAACAGCAAAAACACTTCACAAGATTTGAAAAGTGGTGCTTTAAAAGAAGCAGGGTAGAGCTGGAGAATAAGTTCATGCACTGCTCTTCCACGGGAACAGGTTTTCCTCAGCAGCCATGCTGGGCTGCTAACCACCACCTGGAAGTTCAGCTCCAGGGGATCACCGAGACCACCACATCCCCCAGCTCCTGCATGCAAATTCACTTCCCTCTCCCACATAGCACACATACATACAACTTAAAAATAATAAAAAACAAATCTAAAGAAAGCAAAGCATCAAGCCACAAAGTGAGAGTGACAGGAAAGTATGCATTAGAGAAGTAAGGAAAACTCTCTTTGACAAGTACTGGACCAGAGACTGGAGTTGGTGAAAAAGTAGGTGATGTGCAAGCGTTTCAAGAATACTGTAGGCAAAAGGCAGAGAACTCCAGAATGAGAGTATGTTCCATGTGTCAAGAACTAACATGAACAGAAAACGGTAATTCTCAAACGAAGGAGCAGCAAGTGACGAGGCATTATCATGCAAGTTAAAAATTCTGAATGTTACTCATGAGCTAGTGGCTTCACAGAGTAACTGAAGCCACTAGTTCGTTGTTAACTGACAGGATCGGAGACACCCAGAAAGTGTCAGCTACACATGAGCAGTAACTGGAGTGTAGGAAGCAAATGCCTGTGCTTCCTTCTAAACTACGAACCTAGTGCAAAGAAGTTAAGTTTAAAGCAGCACAACGGCAGACACACAATGGTGAGACCTCCCGAGATACACCTTCCTTTCATTCTGAAACTGTTATCAGATGTTACTTCTGTACCTCTATTTACCATTTACACCTTTTAAAACTATCTTGTCTCTAACTCCCAAAGGCTCACAATACCCCGCCTCCCCTGCACAGTAATAGTATATCTTCTCTCTTGTGGTCTTTTGCTGCTCGCTCCCTGAGCCTATTCCACCCATCATTTCTATTGCGACCTTTCCTTTCACTCTTTGCTAGGGGTTCCAAATAGAAGCTCGTGGACATGGCTCTTACAGCCGTTTCTATGATCTGCTAAATGCTTACAAGTTGACTGGCTGTAAGTAAAAAGAGCCAAATCCTCCCATCGTAAAGATGTGAACATTTTGCAAGGCTCTCAGCTTTGATTCTTCTCTGCCAAAACACTTAGCTTATGCTTTGATCTGAGAAAATTAACCGTGCTTTTACTCCACTTCTAAGTAGGTACCGGACCTGCAAAAGGCTTGCCCATCTTTTGCTCTGCTCTTAACTTGTGAACTGCCTGTCATTATTTCCTCCTTTACTGTTAAGCTTCTAACTGGCACAGGCAATTTCGCCCATCTTCGTAAAAGTTTACTGGGTGGAAACACAAAATTAAACACAACAGCGAAGTGGCTCTGAACAGCAGGGCTCCTCGCCCAACCTCACTCGCCTCAGACTAAAAGCAAGGAAACGCAGCCTTGCCTTGGGAAGCTCAGCCCGACCTTCTCAGCCGCCAAAGCTCCGCCGGGCTACATTACCTTCTCCGTCGGAAGAGCCTTTGACATCATCTTCTAGCTTCGACAATGCAGGCTCGGCTACCATCTTCATCTTTTTCTTTTTCTTCGGGGAACGCTTCAGTTTTTCCCCGGAGTTCACACGTGGGTCCTGAACGGCCGCAGCCATTTTGGATCGCCGGAAGTCCAAACTGATAAATCAGTCGGGTTGCAACTCACGGAACTTCCTCCTTTAGTTCCGGGGTTACAAAGTTCCGGAGCACTGTTGTCCAACCTGAAGTTCCGCTGTCAGAGCCTCCGGTATAGGCAGAGTGACGACTCGACCCACCGGTATTCTCCGGCGGAGTCGGTTCCCGGCCTCACCCCTGCCCCTGTGGCGCCTTCCGGGCGGCTGCTGTAGCCCGCTCTCATTTCTCTCGCCTAGAAGGTTAGTTCTCAGTTAGAAACTTAAGTCCCACCCACTGACTTGAGACTCTCCAAGAACGAATGGATAAGAACTGAACAGCTAGGGAATCAGAAAGCAAGCTCAACTTTCTCATCTGTTTGTTCTTGTTTTGTTTTGGTTGTTGTTGTTGTTGCTGTTCCCCTAAGGACAAAGCACGGTGTTTTCTTATAGACGTTTCTGGGTTTTGATAGATCAGAGGCTGCCCAGGTAAGGTGCGCGGGTGGAATGAGCCACGCCCTAAATCCTATCTAACTCCTGCCATAAACTACAAAACAGCCTTGTAGTAGTCCCAAGGTGTGTGTGTGGGGGGGGTGGGGGTGCGACAATAGGATTATCCTCCTAAATCCTATCGAGTTCCTTCACTTATCTGCTAAACTCAGACTCCACCCTAACTTTGAAAATCTATAAATGAAAGGAATTCCATTTGTTTTGTTAGTTGCTCTTGGATCCCCAGCATATTCCAGCCCCTACCCAAAGCCTGCCAGTGTTATTAAAGGATCTGATCTCCTGAAATACGTCCCAGCACCTGCCTATAGCGAACCAGCAGGGTTTCATTCTTTATCTACTGGATTTTAAGTACCCCAAATTTGTCTGTCAAAAAAGAAAAGCAACAGAAAATGTGAATCCTCACATATATATATATATGTACAAGAAAACATTTTTTTAAAACCTTCACTGACAGGAAATACAGCGTTGTAAGTACAGTTTAGGACAAGAGCAGATGCCAGCATAGGCCTCTGAAAAGAACAATTCCGGTGCCACATAAAGGAGTTTCCCAGGTACTGCTGCTTCCTGGGCCTTCTCGCCTCAACAGCAGTACAGTGCTTTAATTAGAATGCTGTGCTGGCTGGCTCCGAGGCTACTTCCCCGAGGTCACATATTTAGCACTGTAACAGGGCCCCAGACCTTAGCATAACTGACTCCGTGATGGAAGTACCATTCAAGCTGTAAAAAATATGTAGACAGTACCACCTACCAAAACTTAAGCTAAGATCTAATCTGTCAAAGTCCATATAGTTCTGAGAAAGTCTCAAAGTGTACTAACCTTCCTTTTTAGCTTCTGTAGTTCCATTTCTGGCTAACTGTTCTTGATAACTTAAGTATATCAACTCAGAGCATGGGATTTGTGCTTAAAAGGCTCACTCTCAGAAAGGCTCAGTGGTATACTGGGATCATAAACACCCAGCATAGTTGCTGGCCAGCTAATAAAGATTTTTTTATCGACTTAAGCTATGTCCTCGTCTTCTCTGGTGAATACCCCACAACAGCACAGATTTTGTTTTTTGGGGTTTTTGTTTGTTTGTTTGTTGTTTGTTTTTTTAAATATTTACTTTCATTTCTTCTTACAATATATTTCAATCACGTTGTCTCTCTTTCCCCAACTCCTCTGAGATCCTACCCATCTCCCTCCCTACTAAGCCAAATTCATATTCTTTCTCCCTTTCTCAATCACCCTCCCCCCCCCGCAAAAAAAGGGAAAACATCAATAAAAATTTCAAGACAGACAAACTATTTTTAAGATTTATTTTCTATTTTTGTAAACCTGGATGTGTTTATGTACACCACATGTGGTGATGCCTGTGGAGGCCAAAAAAGAGGGTAGGATCCCCTGAGCTGGAATCCACTTGTGAGCTTTCTATCATGGGTGCTGGGAACCCAACCAGGGTCGTCTGCAAGAATAGTAAATATTCTTAGTCACTGGGCCATCTCTCCAGCTCCCAGTCTCTCAATTTTTTTTCTACTTATCCTTTGTCAAATTCATACACATATTCAGCATATCTTGATAATAGTACTTCCAAATCTCACATATCCCATGCCCTACATCATGTGCCTCTCCTATTTCAAGTCCCCTTTCTTTTTTTCTTTCATCTCCTTCTTCTTCTCCTTCTTCTTCTTTTTCTTCTTCTCTTTCCTCCTCCTCCTCCTCTTCCTCCTCCTCCTCCTCTTCCTCCTCCTCCTCTTCCTCCTCCTCCTCCTCCTCCTCTTCCTCCTCCTCCTCCTCCTCCTCCTCCTCCTCCTCCTCCTCCTCCTCCTCTTCTTCTTCTTCTTCTTCTTCTTCTTCTTCTTCTTCTTCTTCTTCTTCTTCTTCCTTTTTGTAACCTTCTGAGTCCAGTTGGTACTGCCTCTTTGTTTGTGGACAACCTACCATCAACCACACCCTTGAAGAAAAAAATGAATCTCCCCCCATCAATTCCTCAGCTTCATTAATCCCTGTCTTGTCCTGTTCTGTTCAGGAACCCATTTCTTTTTTATTTTATTTTTGAGGAAACATCTTACAAAGTTCCCCAGGCTGACCTCAGTTGAACTCTGTAGTCCAGGCCCATCTTGAATTTTATAATGCTCCTGCCCTGGCCTCTACAGGTACTCGGGGTTTCAGGCCTGTGCCATCAGACCCAGCATTTCCATGCATATAATAGCTTATATGTAAGAATTGTTATGGACCTGGTTACAATTTAAAATATTGCTTGTGAGAGGAAAAAAATAGTTAACCAGTTACAATTTTTGTTCTTCATTAAAGGAATGTAAAGTGGAATCCAGGTTCTTAATCTGGAGATTTGATTGTCAGAAATAGATACAGCTATGTGAGAATTATCTATATTGCTTCCTTTGGTTTTCATAATAAACCGGTGAGCTTGTTGCTATTTTACAGATGAGAAAACCGAGGCTGAGAAAAAGTAGTTTTTCGGAAATCACACAGGCAGCGAATGGTAGACTGGGCTGAGACTTGAGCACCAGCATTGACTCAGCCGTTGCCGTGCAAGCCTGCTTACACTGTTGCACTTTTAGAATCAAAATGAGCAATGAAATTTTCAGGCAGGCACTGGGATTCACAAATTAGAGGACAAATGCCTTCTATTATCATGATCCATGGTAATACAAAAGACTCAAGAAGAAGATCCACTGTCACTCTCATTGGCATGCCCCTGTGCCCAGAAGGAGATGAGCAATCCAAGACCAGCTCAATGGCATTTTTGTTTAGTCTTATTCCAGTTTGTTTCCATTTATTCTTATTTAATTACCATTTCTTAGATGCTTGTTTTCTATGAGAAAAAGGAAAGATGTGAATTAGGGTGGGAGGGGAGGGAAGAGGTGGGGGAGGGCAAGCTATCATCATAATGTATCAAAAAATTAAAAAAAAAAAAAACTATTTTCAAAAAAAATAAATGGGGAAAATCCCCTGTGTACCAGAAACAGCTGATGTCATCTGAAGACTGGGAGAGACAAATCCATCTCTATCTATAGCAGTTACAAGCTCTCAGCATTCCTCTCCCTCCACTGCAGACTCTCCATCTGGATCCCTAACTCAAAATGGACCCTTCGTTCTAGGTCATGGTGTTTTATCACAGCAACAGAAAAGTAAGTAGATGGAGCCCTTTAGGTTTTGGAGATCCATTAAACAGTAACTAGAACTCCACTTTCATAAGCCAGCTGGTTTTATTTTCTTTAAAGAAAACAGTGAAGTATCTCTAAAATCCTTAAATTTCACAATCCTGTTTGTAAGTCTTCTTCTGAGTCCTGTCAGTTCTTTTTGTTTTCTCCCTGAAACTGGCCTCAAACTTTCTATGGCCAGAGATGGGACTTGAACTTGAAGCCTCATGGACTCCTGATTTCCCTGTCTTTACCCCACAAGAGGAGAGATTATAAGCCTGTGCTACCATGCCTGGTTTATGCAGTATGGGGAGTCCAATCCTGGCTGTCATACATGTGAGGCAGACACTACCAACAAAGCCACATGCCTGGCTAAGCTACAAGTTCGTAAATCTTGAAATTCTTTACAAATGATGGATTCTTTCCATCTTCATTAGTTTTTTTTTTTCTGATTTTGTTGTTTTTAAGATTTGCTTTATTTTTTGATTGTGTGCATGTGTTTGTACACATGAGTGCAGTGCCCACAGAGGCCAGAAGATGGTGGTGGATCCTGCAGCTGGCGTTATGGGCAGCAGCTCTGAGATGCTGAGCATAGGTGCTGGGAACTGAGGTTGGGTCCTTTGCAAGAACAGTGCTCGATTTTAACCTTTGTGGCATCTCCCAATCCCTTCATTACTCTCTTCTAATATGACACTCCTGCTTGTGATACAATTAAGACCCATCAAGGCTCCCTTTGATTCCTGACCAGCCTGGGCCCTCGGTGCTGTCAGCCTGTTTAAAACATTCCAATCACAGACAGGAAAGGGACAGCCTATCTCTGGTCGATGTTAAACAAAAGAGCACATGAAAACTGGCAGGAGGAGCAGGCTTTATTTCATGTGAACAAATTGTTCTTGGGCTCCTGGTCTCAAAGCCTGCATTAGTGATTTGGGCACTACCATGCATCAAGAAGACACTTCACACCTTGCATACCTTGCCCATAAATACCCACCTGCTAGGAGAGTTAATAGTCTCCTGGGCAACATTCATCATGGATGACAAGATTTTCCCAGCTTTTCTGAAGTCAAGCTAACAAGAGCAAAGTGGGTTAGTGAATCCTGCTCAACCCTCTAACTTCTGCTTAAGCTACTTGGAAGGACAGCCCCAGCCCTGTATGAAGAATTGTGACTTCCTTTCCTTAGTCACAAATGAACCCAGCCTGTGTGTCCCCAGTGACCAGAGGTGCAGCCGAAAGAAGTTCCCCAGAGCTCAGCCATTTTCTTTAAGTCTTATGAAGTTGAGAGAACACATCTTCTAAATTGGGCTGATTTGCCCAGTGATGAAAGCTCAGAGAAACTTTCCTAAGCCTGCCATTCAGCTATGCATTCAACCACAAAGTACTTGCTTGAGCCCTGAATAGACGCAA